GCTGCTGTAGTACCGTCTGCTGCTGCTGTAGCACTGTCAGCTGCTGCTGCTGCTGCTGCTGCTGCTGCTGTAGCATCATCTGCTGCTGCTGTAGCATCGTCTGCTGCTGCTGTAGCACTGTCAGCTGCTGCTGCTGTAGCATCGTCTGCTGCTGCTGTAGCATCGTCAGCTGCTGCTGTAGCATCGTCAGCTGCTGCTGTAGCATCGTCAGCTGCTGCTGTAGCATCGTCAGCTGCTGCTGTAGCATCGTCAGCTGCTGCTGTAGCACTGTCAGCTGCTGCTGCTGTAGCACTGTCAGCTGCTGCTGCTGTAGCACTGTCAGCTGCTGCTGCTGTAGCACTGTCAGCTGCTGCTGCTCCTGCTGTAGCACTGTCAGCTGCTGCTGCTGCTGCTGCTGCTGCTGCTGCTGTAGCACCGTTGTTGGTGTGGCTTATTGAGAATACCAAGAAAACAATTAACCCCAGAGGATTTGCCACCCAGGATAACCCAAAAAAAGTCAGTGTCATCGAAGACTGTCTAACTTATTTCCATTGGGGTCCTTAATCTTGTCTCCCAGGATGCAACCCACACCAGTCGACTAACACCCAGGTGAACAGGGAAAAATGCCTGGAACTAGTGCTCATATTGGTGAATTTAAAGCCAGCAAAGGTTGGTTTGAGAGATTTAAGAATCGTAGTGGCATACACAGTGTGATAAGGCCTGTTCTGGAAGAAAATGCCAAACAGGACCTACAGTACTCAGGAGAAAAGGCACTCCCAGGACACAGTGTCTCATCAGTCATTGCTGCATCTTCAATAAAGGTAAGTGGGCATTTATTCTTCATTTAGTAGAGTAGTACATGCACAATATATATTGTGCATGTACTACTCTACTATTGTGCATGTATCCTTCTCTTTGTGTGTAGGAAAATGTATATTTCATGTGGTAAAATTTTTTTTTTTCATACTTTTGGGTGTCTTGCACGGATTAATTTGATTTCCATTATTTCTTATGGGGAAAATTCATTCGCATACCGATCATTTCGCATAACAATGAGCCATCTTGCACGGATTAAAGTCGCTATGCAGGGGTCCACTGTATAGGAAGAGAGGCGAGTAGTATTTGTAGGAAGTCAGTGTAGGTAGCCAGTAGGTGTAGCCCAGGCGGGCTACCTACACTGTGGCTCACGAAATCGTAATGACATGATTGCAAACAAACCATACCACGGGCGGGGATAGAACCCGCGATCAGTCTCAAAACTCCAGACCGTCACATTAGCCACTGGACCACTGTGGCCCAGAGCCATATTATTAGCATCGACATACCTTGTTCACTGAATTTAATCATTTCTAACAACTACCTTTAGATGCCATCATAAACGCAGGGAGAAGTAATGAATAATTCATGCCGAAAATTGTAAACAAAAGCGGAGTGGGGGAGTGGCTGGGCCAAATGCAGATTCATAAACGTTTTCTCTGATGGCTGAGCAGAGAAAATGTAATGCTGTCCCTCCGGCCGGCTACCACGCAGGTCCACAAGTATTATCAGAGCACATATAAAATATGCAATAAATGCCAGACAATAAGTTTACACTAATTTATATTAAGTTAGTAATGGAAATAGGCATTAAAAACACAATAAAAGGTAAGATACACATAGAGTACACTTATTACTTGCCTTAAAATATTAATATTATGTGCGAGGTGAGTGGCAGTGTTTATTGAATAAAATCAGAATGGCACATCATAATCCTCTGACTTGGCACTTAAAGCAAGAGGCTTACGACTCCTCTTTTTATCACAGCTAAGCTTAGACGCCATCCTCAGTGAGAGCCAACTAATTAACAAAAGTGTAAACGAGAGAGAGAACGAGATACAGAGTTCAGACAATGTAAGATTGCAAAGTGAACAGGTAGTGGGCGATCACTTGGTCAGGCAAAATAAATGCGTATTAATATGTCTGCTTTTAGTTCATTCATGTACGTTTGTAAGATTGAGGTAAATGTTTTACAAACTATTTTTTTATTATAATTACCTCACAATACAAATACTCTTACATTGTGTACAAGTTGTACAAGTTAGTACAGAATAAACAAACAGCAACACACCATTTTTAGAGTGAATGAAGATAGTAGTAGTAGTAGTATTATTATTATCATAAAAAGCACTAAACCCACAAGGGTCGTGAATTGCTATATATAGTGAAGGCATACGAAAAGAATATTTTTCTACAGTTATCCCCCAGTTTAGAGAAAACGTAATTCTTCCGACACTAACTACACAGCCGCTTTGTAAACAAATCTCGTATTTACGTCACTTTTTATTCTGTGAGTGTATGTATCATGTTTATATGCTATGTAATGGGTTTCATGTATAATTTTGAGGAAAATATCATAGATGGATTAATCAAAATGCCTATATTAATGTAAAATAAGACAGTGTGCCCAAGAGTGATTATTATTACGTAGTATTGGCGTCATGAGTAGAGAAACTTAGCTATTTTAATGTGTACCTGCACACCAGCACAGTGTGCAAGTATATTTAGGTACAGGTACACTTAAGTACAGTATAATTACCAGAGTACACATAAAATAGGCAGTAACTTTAAAACACAAAATTTTGGAAAGTTTCCTGACATAATAGATGTGGTCACAGAGTGTAGACAAACCGGGTGGGGGGCGCTGTATTTGAAAGACCGCTTGCCGTATAGCGAATTTTGGTCATAATTTGACATCACCGTATTAGTGGAATGCCATAAGGCAAACCGCCGTAAAGCGGGGCCCTACTGTACTTTTACAAGCTCATTCATGAGTGTTAAGCATCCATTGTTACATCGTGCATACCTGTCTGTCATGCTTTTACTGGGAAATAATCCCCTTTCCTCCTACATACCCTAACTGGAGAGCCTCACTTTGCATAAAATATTTTAACTTCTTATAGTAACCTGCCTCCTATATCATACATTTGCAATAGCTGCCACATGGCTTCCTTTAGCCACATATGTTATGCCTTTTCTAAATCTATATATGCAACAAATAGCTCTTTATAAGATTACATGGTATACTCACTTTTTTTTTTTCCTTGTAATTCTTATATTCTCTATCTCCTTGTACCTTGTACTAGAAAGCTTTATACTCTACCAATCCATTGGTATCTTTATTCCATGCACACCTTGAACAAACACACCAACCACTCCAACATTGTCCCCACCTGCTTCTAATATTTCTTTTAATTCCTTCCATCCCATTTGCTTTCCCTCCTTTCATTCTACCCACTGCCTCGCACTCTCTCCACAACTACCTGAGGTTCCTTCTTCCTTCTGTCCCTTGCATGAAATCACCACTTCCCCTACACTAACATTCTAACAACTCTACAAAATATCCTTTCCATCTTTCCAGTACCTCCACATCTTTATCTAACATCTCCCCTCTTTTTGTTTTTTACTGTTAAGTCCCTTTGCTCTCCAGGCTTCCTCACCATATTGATCTCCAGTACAGTTTACTTAGTTTTGGCAAAATTTGCTGATACTCCCTATTCTTTCTTTGGCTGTTTTTTTTTTTTAGCCTGTTACACTTTTAACCTCCCTCTTCCTTTCCATATGCAGTGGTGCCTCGGTACTCGAACAGGTCTCAACTTAAGCAATTCTGTATTTGAACACTTTGTTCAGTAAAAAAAATCACTCGGTAGTCAACCGTTTGCTCGGCACTCAACCAAACAAACTTGACCTGCCTACTGCTGTTATAAAAGAAAGGTGTGCTAAATGGGGGAGGAAGTGCAAAGTTTTCTTGAGCATTATCACCCAGCCAAAGCTGTAGCAAATTGTGTTATAAACCTGCTGTTTGACAAGCCTATGTCTCACTTCAGAAACTTTTTAAAATGCAGTCAAAAGCAAATTTCATTAGACAGGTTTCTAGTGAGACAGACCCAGGGAGTCTCAGGAAGAAAGCAGAGAGACAGAAAAGAGAAAGAACCCCAGAAGCACAGTTACCTGCCATTTTTATGGAATATAATGAACAATACCATCTCCCTTCCTCCTCACCTTTCTCACTATCTTCCACATATGCCATCAACTCTCCAGTTACAGGTAAAGCGAGGATAAATTTGCATTTACTTCATCTATTCATTGTGTTAGGTTTCTTGTTTTTTAGATTTATGCATGCTAGGCTTGTAAACTTCATGTTAAAATGCTTTTGTAAGTATTTTGGGGGTCTGAAACAGATTAATCTAATTTACATTATTCCTTGTGGGAGAAATTCATTCGTTACTCGAACAGATCAGCACTCAAACAGCCTTCTGGAACAAATTAAGTTTGAGTACCAAGGTACTGTACTCTGCCTTCCATCTACCATCTTTTACATTGAAACAACCTCTCATGCTAATTTTCTCCCTTGTCCTCCTCTTTACCTCATTCACTTAATGCCTTCCAAAAATCTTTTCAATTTCCTCCCCCCCCCCCCCATCCCCAGATGCCTATGCACTTGAACCCAACTCTTCTGTCCCATTTTTACTCTTAACCCCATAATTTATTCACTTAAAATCCTATTTTTCTTTACAAAATTTATGAATAATATTGCTGCTTTTTTCCTAGCTCTTGATTCTCTTTGGTACACTCGATCTAATCCCATTTATCCCCCCTTAACAAAATTATTATCCTTAAACTTTGTTTCACTTAGTGCTAGGACATCCAGCTTGTTGTCATTTCTACCATTAACAATTAATTTGTTTTACTCTGTGCTACACCTACACACATTCAAACACCCCAGTTTCAAGATATTCTTTCTCCTTTTAGAAATTTAGTTGCTATCCTTTTGCTACTGGCATTTGTTACCTTTTACGATGTGTCTTAAGTTACAAGGGAAGAATTCTAGCCCACTTCCATGTAGGCTAGAATATCGTTAGTTGATGTACAGTGTGAATTAACAAGATGATTTTTCCTGATAGCATTTTAGGGACAGCTGATTTTGTACATAGGTGAAGAGTAAAATTTTTGTATACCTGTTAATATTAGAATGTGTTTTTCAGGTTTCTACTGAGGAAGGTGAGCGAAAGGCAAAGGAGCTTAATGTGATGTTCATAGAGACAAGTGCAAAAGCAGGATACAATGTGAAGCAGGTAAGGTGGACATGAACACTGAATGTAAATACTCTAGCCAATTGTAACTTATTTATTGTCCAGCTTCTTTGCTGTAGTTTTCATTATGCATAAATTTTGGATTTTGCTTCTAGTAGAGTAGAAGTTACGTAACTGCATGTGGTACACTGCCAAAAATGTCTTGCTTAGGCTTTGATGCTTCACTAGAACCAAGTATTTCAGTAGCAATCTTTGGTTTGGTTGCTCACCTACTGTACCTACATTGGGGCACTTACCCTACATGTTTTGCTTGCAGTGGGTAATAATAGTTCCTAAAGTTTTTGGACTTGCTTCATATCTTTTTTGAACCATGTAGCTGAGCAGCATATTAATTTAGACCTGTATTATTTGGGTTTTAAGTGATCCTGGCTATTTAACTTGGTATGAGAGTATTTGTATTGAGTGATGCTTTTATTGATTTTGTTCTTGTGTTGTATTTTATGCATGTGAGCTCACTCGGTTCTCCGTAAACATCCATTACTACTGGACTTGTAGTAGTCTTGTCAATGTAAATTTTTTCCAACAGTATTAACTAAGTTTTTTCAGTGCTTTCTTCACTCTTTCTAAAGTCCTCCCCCTCTCTGTTCCTGTCCCATCCACCTCTGCCCCTCTCCCCTCCCCACCATTACTGCCAGACTCTCTCATTCCACTTCCTCCCCCCCTAATCCATCCCACCCTCTAACTCCCCTCCCGCCCCCTTCCCCTCCACCCCTGCCCTTCCTACCCTATCTCTCTCCTCCCTCTCCCTCCCTTGCCCCTCCCCCTCTGCTTCTCCCTCCCCTCATCCCTACAGTCGACCCTTCTGCCTCTCCCCTCTGCCTCCCCCCCTCGCCCTTCTGCCCCTCTCCCTCTCCCCCTGCCCCTCTCCCCTCTGCCTCTCCCTCCTCTCCCCTCTGCCCCGTTCCTGCATCCCTGCCCCCTCTGCCCTCCCCTTTCCTCTCAGCCTCCCCCCCTTCCCCTCTCCTCCCTCTCCCCCTCGCCCCTTCCTTCTCCCCCTGCCCCCTCTCCCCCTCCCCTCTTCCCCTCTCCCCTCCCCCTTCCCATCCCTCCCCCCTCCCCCTCTCCCCCTCCCCCTGCCCCCTCCCCTCTCCCTCCTCTCCCCCTCTCCCCCTCTCCCCCCTCCCCCTCCCCTCTCCCTCCCCTCTCCCCCTCCCAGTCCCCCCTCCCACTCCCCCTCTCCCTCCCCCTGCCCCTCTCCCCCTCTCCCTCTCCCCCTCGCCCCCTCCCCCTCTCCCCTCCCCCCCACTCCCCCCCCCCCCCTCCCTCCCCCCTCTGCCCCTCTCCCCCTCCCCCTCTCCCCCTCTGCCCCTCCCCCCTCCCTCTCCCCCTCTCCTCCCCTCCTCCCTCCACTCTGCCCCTCTCCCCCTCCCCCTCTCCCCCTCCCCCCCTCCCCCTCCCCCCTCCCCCTCTGCCCCTCTCCCCCTCTCCCCCTCCCCCTCGCCCCTCTACCCCTCCTTGCCCCTCCCCTCCCTCTACCCCTCACCTCCCCTCCCCCTCTGCCCCTCTCCCCCTCTCCCCCTCTCCCCCTCTCCCCCTCTCCCCCTCTCTACCCCTCTCCCCCTCCCCTCTCCCCCCTCTGCCCCTCTCCCCCTCTGCCCCCTCCCTCCCCCTCCCCCTCTGCCCCCCTCTCCCCTCCCCCTCTCTCCCTCTGCCCCTCTCCCTCTGCCCTCTGCCCCTCTCCCTCTGCCCCTCTCCCTCTGCCCCTCTCCCTCTGCCCCCTCCCCTCTGCCCTCCTCCCTCTGCCCCTCTCCCTCTGCCCCTCTCCCTCTGCCCCTCTCCCTCTGCCCCTCTCCCCTCCCCTTCTCCCCTCTCCCCCTCTCCCTCTCCCCCTCCTCCCCCTCCCCCTCCCCCTCTCCCCCCTCTGCCTCTCCCTTCTGCCCCATCCCTTCTGCCCCTTCCCTTCTGCCTCTCCCCCCTTCCCTCTGCTCTGCCCTCCCTTCTCTTCTTTGCACCTCCCCTTTCTGCCTCTTTGCCCCTCCCTTCTGCCTCTCTGCCCCTTCCCTTCTGCATCTCTGCCCCTTCCCTTCTGCCCTCTGCCCCTTCCCTTCTGCCCCCTCCCCTTCCCTTCTGCCCCTCTGCCTCTTCCCTTCTGCCCCATCCCTTCTGCCCCTTCCCTTCTGCCTCTCTGCCCCTTCCCTTCTGCCTCTGCCCCTTCCCTTCTGCTTCTTTGCACCTTCCCTTCTGCCTCTTTGCCCCTTCCCTTCTGCCTCTCTGCCCCTTCCTTCTGCATCTCTGCCCCTTCCCTTCTGCCTCTCTGCCCCTTCCCTTCTGCCCCTCTGCCCCTTCCCTTCTGCCCCTCTGCCCCTTCCCTTCTGCCCCTCTGCCCTTCCCTTCTGCCCCTCTCCCTCTCCCTTCCCTTCTGCCTCCCTCTCTCCCTTCCATTCTGCCCCTCTCCCTCCCCCATCAGCCCCCCCCCCTTTTTTTTACGTAGGGTTTGACAAGGTTAAGGATTCCTAACTTTATTGGCAAGCTAAGAGCTGTTTCCTACATCAGCTCATTTGAAAGCATTTTGATTATGAGACATACAAGTAGGGAACAGGATGAAGTTGGAGCCATCTGTGGGCCAGCATTTTCATTTGATCAACTGATTTTATCTCGTTGACATCATTATGCTGTACGAATGTGTTCCATACACGAGTCATCCTGGGTATATATGATCTCAGATGGAGTGATGTTCTGGAGTAGGGTACAGCCAGAGTGAAGTTGCTGCTTTCTGCCCGTCTTGTGGCATAAAAGCTTGTTTCACGCTGTCCTCGAAGTGGATCCAAGTTTGGTACTTTGACAGTATTGGCCTTGTACATAACAGTAAGGCCACCAACATCCCTCCTGTGTTGAAGGCTCTGCTGAAATGCCAGATCTATCCAGGATGGGTCCAGGTGAGAGATGAGACGTCTTGCTCTGTTCTCTACTCTGTCAAGCAGTCGCAGATGAGAGGGGGGGGGGGGCAGGCAAACCAAGAAAGTGGAGCATACTCAAGGTGTGAGCCTACTTGTGCCTCGTACAGAATCTTGCAACCCCTACTGTCAAGCAGATGCGAGATACGGCGAAGTGTTGTAAGCTTCCTGGCTGCATTGTTTGCAAGATTTACAACATGGTTCTTCATGGTTAGTTTGGAGTCATATTTCACCCCAAGGATATCTTCTTCTTCTCCAGGTGCCAACACCCTCCCATTCATCCTTACTACTGCACCAACATTACCATCATGGTGCCTTGAGACGATCATCATTTGCGTTTTCTCAGGTGCAAATGTTACTTGCCATCTATTTCCCCAAGCTGATATAGCTCTCAGCTGGTGATTGATGTAGCTTAGAGCAGCAGGCATTTCTTCTCTGGGATAAGTGAATGTCAGTGTACAGTCGTCTGCATATGCATGTGATTCTGGGATGAGATGAAGAAGGTTGTTGAAGTAGACATTCCATAACAATGGTCCCAGCACGCTTCCTTGTGGAACACTTGCCCCAATAGAATGTCTTGCTGATTCTGTTCCATTGAGAACTACACTTACAGATCCACCATGAAGGTAATCACTGAGGAGACGTAGTGTAGAGCCTGCAATTACCAGTGCTTGAAGTTTTGCTAAGAGGCCCTGGTGCCACACCCGGTCGAAAGCACCAGCAATGTCCAGTGCTACCACACAGCTGACTTTGGATTCATCCATTGACTGGTGCCACTTAGTGGAGAGGTTTAACAACAGATCAGCAGCAGAGTAACCTTTCCTGAAGCCATATTGACGATCACAAAGTAGTGAGTGGTAGTCAAAAAAATCTGTCATTTGTTTTGAGATTGAAGAATCTTATCAGTGATTGACAGGAGTGACACTGGTCTGTAGTTGCTGATTTCTGCTCTGCTCTTCATTTTGTGAACAGGGACTACATTTGCCTCTTTCCATAGCGAGGGCCATTTACACTGTACTAGGCAGTGCTGAAAGATGCGAGTTAGAGGTGCTGCTAGCTGGTCTGCACATCTTCTCAACAATCTTGGGCTCAACTTGTCTGGGCCCACAGCCTTTTCTTGGTCAAGCGATTTAAGAAGGAAATGCACCTCCTCCTGCCTTATTGTCACCACTGACAGTTTTGACACAGTTCTTGCAGCTAGCCAAGGAGGGTCCCTTGCTGGATCAGGAACTTGCATTTTGGTAGCAAAGTGTTCAGCAAAGAGGTCCGCCTTCTCTTGACTACTAGTAGAGGTGGTCCCATCCTGTCGATTTAGAGGTGGAATAAGTTCATCAGGCAGATAACCTTGTCTGTCCTTGACCAGGGACCACCAGGTGTTGGAGCCTACCCTACCTGATGCTAACTTTCTTTGTGTCCCCCTCCCATTTAGCAATGGCCCACTTTTGAACATCACCCATATGCCTACAGGCTTGCATGTGCAAGTTCCTGTTATAGGTGGTAGGATGTCTCTTATACCTTCGCCATGCTTTGTACTTAGCAGTAGCAGCCTCTCTACAACGAAAGCCAAACCAAGGCTGATCTGTAGGCTTTGTCACATATTGCCGGTGAGGAATGTGTTCTTGTTGCAGATTAAGGATGTGTCCAGTGAAGGCTTTTCACTTGGTTGTCAACATCCCCCTGGAGAAGAGCATTCCAGTCGGTGGTGGCGAGCTCAGAGCAAAGGGCTGGCCAATTACCTCTTTCCCATAGCCAGGTTGTGCGTGTGGACTTCTCACCTCGTTCTGTTGGGATCTTAAGTGTGGTAAAAACAGCCTTGTGGTCAGACGATCCAACGTAGCCGAGGGGTTGACAAGTGACTATGCCTTCTGCCAAATCACTCACTACTGGGTCAAGGGAGGAGCCAGAGATATGAGTAGGGAAATCAACAAAGTTTCTCATGTCAAACACTGCAAGAAGGTCATCAAAGTCCCTCTGTATAAGGTGCTGGTTGAGGTCACCAACAATTATAATATGTTGACAGTTGTGTTGTAGCAGAAGGGAGTCAATATTTCCATTAGGAAGTTGATAGGGTCTGCATGTTGCCACTGA